ATTCCCACATTCACCCAGGGATATTTTGCAGTAATTATTGGTGTGCTCATCCTGGAGGAAAAGCTGTTGGGTTTAGGATGGTTTTTGTGCTGCTGGAGAGCTGTGAGAGGAGGAGAGTGGGGCTTTTGGTTGAAATTTTAAAAGGTGAAATGTTGTTTGCAAACTCAGAGAACATTTCACCCTCAGGCATGTGGGGCAGGGGGGGTCTTGAGCCACTTTTCCTCCCTGTTGGTGCCAAGGGAAAGGCTGAGGAAAGGCAGCAGCTGTTTCCTGCCCTGGGTGCTGGAGAAGGAAAAAAACTTTTCCCCACATCTGGTGGTGCTCAGCTTACCTGTGCTGGTTTTAATTTTACATCTTATGTGATAGATTTTTTTATATTCTGCTTTTTTTTTTTCCTGGGAAAGCAAGGATTTGTTTTCAGGATTTTTATGGATTTTTTTTGCTTTGGTACTAAAGTTAAATGAGACACAGCATTGTCTCTTGATACACATTGGACTTTCCCAGCTAACACTCTCTCCTGGACTGTGAAGGGGCAAAATCCACCTGTGACCCCATTGCTTTGCCCAGGGTTGTTTTCTGGCCTTCCCGTTGGATAGAACCTCCAGAAAATCCACATTCCCCATTTCTTTGAAGTTTCCATGAGGTTCCAGTGCGGGATCTCCACCATTCCCTGCAGAAGACTGCAGTGAATATTTAAGAAAGAGGAACATTCGTTCTGTTTTATGCAGTAAAACCCACCCGTGAACAATTCCAGAAGGCTCTCTGCTCCTGTTCAGTGACAGCCAGGGAATCAGTGAGGCCTCTCCACCCTTTCCATGTTTCTTAGACAAGACTTTTCCAAGCTGGGGATGTGCCATGTGTCCTCGGAGTGACGGACAGAATCGTGACACGCCTGAAGCTGCAAATGCCAGAAACATCAGGAGGAACTTGAGCAAAATTGCACTCCAGTACAGTCTGTAACTCTGATCCTGCCTGAGGATCCTTCCAGCTGGAAAATGCAGCATTTGAGCAGCGTGAACTCTTTAACTTTTGTTAAGAGCTCCTCAGAACGACTTAGCTCATCTCTGGGAAAGGTGGCTTTGTTTTTTTGGTTTTTTTGGTTTTTTTTTTCCTGTTTGTTTTTTAATATCTAGTATTTTCCATCATTTTGGCCACTCTTTGTGTGCTGTTTCACAGAACTTCGTGCTGCTCCGTGCATCTCCAGCTGGATTCCAGACCAGCTGTGACTTGGGCAGGGACGCTTGGCTTGGGTCAGCTTGGAATTAACAGCAAGGTGGAACTTCCTCAAAGGAAGCAGCCTCATTAAATAACTCCAGTTCAATTCTGGAATGAAAGCCGCGTGGATTTTTAGCAGGAGGGGTGGGGGAGAAAAAAAAAAAAAAAAAGAAAAAAAAAGCTTTAGCCACTGTGAAATCCTGTTGCTAATCTGATTTCCACGTTGCATCAGTTTGGTGCAGTGCTCCCAGAGCGCTGGGGATGAACGCAGCGTGGGAATAATCACTCAGCTTCGTTTGCCTGCTCTCTCAGGAGCACGTCTCAGGGCTCCTGACAGCTCTGCTGGGTGGCAGAACCAAGTCCTCGTGCTCTCCACGCCACCACGCGTGGCTGCATCATCCCTGTGCCGAACGAGGCACGGCGTCCCCAGGCTGGGGTGCTGGGGGCAAATGGCAACAGCAGCCGGTCCTGGAAGGTTTTTTAGGGGTTTGCCTGGTCCCTAAAACCTGTATGGAGCAGCTGGCACAGCACACAGCAGTGTGGGAAGAGTCTGGAAGCACAGCCTCCAGTTTCTTCGAGTGCCGAGCAATTAATTTGGGCAAGCAGGGAGTTGTACGTGTGCAGTAATTAACAGGGAAAGCACCTCGGGCCAGCCTAACGAGTGGGGGTGTGGGTGTCCTTCACTTTGAGATTGTTCCACCTAATTGCAGCAATTTACCTGCGTGGATCAATGTCACATCAGCCCGTGTGCCATGAGGCAGGGATTCTGCAGCAGGGCTGAGATGCCCAAAAAGGTGCCATGCCTCGGGGCACCTCGTTTTTTCCCCCAAAAGCCCTGTGTGAACTGTCAGCTCTAATCCTGTCCCAGGGCTCCCTGAGTGCTCAGCCTCTCCCCTGGACACCGTTCCCTTCCTTATATAGGGCTGGCTAAGTGCTGGGCATAATGAGATTGGAATAAAAGGCTTTGGGAGCACAGATGAGCTGGCAGGGCGAGCTGGATCCCCATGTACACAGCACATCAACCAGCAGCAGCTTCCTCCTGCTCCCCAGGCTGGCCTTTGCTTTGGAGCTTGGGATTAGTGTTTGAGTATCAAACTCACCCAGGTGGAACCCCTGGACCTTTTACTTAGGGGGAAAAGTATCTGGTTATGTGTCAGAATCTGAGGTATTGATGATTCTGAGATTGTAAAAGTCTCTGTCTGTCAGCCCCCTGCCAAAGCAGAAGCCATAATTGGTCTGTGCTGGTTTCCAGGTTGTTTATTCTGTTGATCTCTCACATGTTCTGCTGCCCTGCCCAGCTCTGTCCTGCAGGGCAGCGTGTGGGGCTCTGCCCTCAGTGGGATGTGACAAACATTAAATACCAGAAACTCCCTGGGCTGGATTTACAAGAACGTGCCAATATCTGTCACCTACGTTGGGCAGTGTGTCCCCATCCTGAACCAACAGAAAAATGCCAACACCACAGTGAGACATGGAGGGCATGAAGGAGGAGAAAAAGGACAAGGCACACCCAATTTCCTCCAGCTTGTCCCCTTTGGACCCCTCATCTAGAATCCTAAAATTTCACTTTTGCACCCGTGCCACACTTAATTATTCCTTATATCAAACGCTCAGAGCTGGTAATTGATCCTGTAAGATTGAAAACTCTTTTCCATGGGCAGAGATCACAGCCAGTGTCTCTGGGGGCTCTGTCCAGGGGGTTCCTGACCCCTGCCAGGGTCCCAGGGCAGCCAGAGGGAAGCCCTGGATTCCCACAGTTGTGTATATCCAGTGTTATTCAGTACCCCAGAGCATTTTTTCTTCTGGTTTTATTTTGCAGGAAGAAGTTTAAGCTGTGTTAATTAATTAGTTCTGGACTAAGAGAATCTATAGAGGTGCTGAATTAATATTTTGCCTGGTTAAATTCACACTGTATCTAATCCATAATGATGAGTACTCTGTTAAAAATATTTGTGGAAATACTCTTTGGTGTAGGCAGAAATGGTTGAGGTGAAATGTTATCTGCCTGGTCTGTCCTTGATGAATTTATGCATCAACAACTTTGGAGCAAATATCAGTCCTAGAAAGTCCTGGCCTAAATCACTGATGTGGGTAAACATGGCAGGAGTGGAGAGCCAAGCAAAGGCAGCGTTTGGAATAGTTTTAATTTAGTTTTGTATTTACTCTCATTAAAAAAAAACAGGGGTGATACCTGGAAAAGAAAGATTTGAAGGGAGATTGGGGTGATTGAGAGGCTGGAATGAAAACTGAAGGGAAATGGAGTTGTTTTGGCTCTGGCATCTTCCCGGAGCTTTGCAGTTCCTGCTGAGCTGTGTTCCCTCCGAGGCAGGGGCAGGGAAGGAGGAGGTGAGGGGGTGGTTGGATCCCTACCTGGGTGTACCTGAGCTCTCTCACAAAGCAGCACAAGCCAGAGTGGGTGAACATGGAACAACTTGGAAACTTTTTTTTTTTTTTTTGGGGCTAGTGACTCACTGCAACTTACCCAAAGTGACCTGATTTAGTTAAATGAGGCTAAATATAACCCATGTGAAAAGTACTGACATGTGGGAGGAGACGCCAGAGTTGGCACTCAGCCCCTCAGTTCTGCAGGGAACATCTTTCACGACTGGTGACTAATAATTTTTTTTACTCTTGCTGGCTTTGGAAATAACAATCCTTGCTCCATCCCCCCCCCCCCCAACTCTTTGTAGGGAAATGCTCCGGGCTTAACCTGCCTTTCTGAATTGCAGCTCTCTGCTATGGACAGTGCCATCACCCTGTGGCAGTTCCTCCTCCAGCTGCTCCAAGAGCCCCAGAACAAGAACATCATCTGCTGGACCTCCAACGACGGGGAATTCAAGCTGCTGCAGGCAGAGGAGGTGGCCAGGCTCTGGGGGATCCGCAAGAACAAGCCCAGCATGAACTATGATAAACTCAGCCGGGCGTTGCGCTACTACTACGTGAAGGTAGGCTGGGAATTCTGCTCCAATCCTCCTCCCTCCCAGCTGAGGAGTTCTGTTTCCTCCTCCTCCCAGGGAGGGGTGGCACTGCTGTGCCTCTGTGCCAGGCTGAAGGAAGTTGGGCTGCTTTGTTTAAAGGTGTTGGGTTGTTTTTTTGAAATTTTTATCCTTCCGCTGTTTCCTCCTCGCTGGTTGTTTCGGGAGGTTCTGGTGGCTTGGTGCGAAAAGTGTTGGCTTGGTGTCTTTGGTAATATAAATTTGTCTTTGGATCTTCATTGCCCTTCCAAAAATACACACCCTTGCAAGGGTTAAAATACAGGTTGATGGTTGGTTAAAATCCAAGGATGATGATGGAGCGCGTGAGTATTTCCCTACTTTCAGATCTTTCCGCAGCTTTCTCTTTACATTTATTTCTTCCAAAAGAAGCATTTTTCAGCCCTAAATATTTTTGATTTTCGCTGTGTGTTCAGAATGTCACCTTCAGTTTGACCACTGTTTTCAGCCCAGCAGAGTAAGAAGCTTTTGTTTATCCAACATCTTGGAGTCTCACCTTTGTTTTCCCTTTATCCCACGACTGCTGGTGTGTGAGTGGAGCAGATAAAAATAACTCCCAGTTTCTGAGGAGCCTCAGCCTGGAGCAGGTGGGAGGGTGCTGCTGTTCCTTACTGGGTGCCACAAATCTGCCTCGGTACTGAGAGATCTCAGCAGCAATCAGGGAGTGATAAATAAGGATAATTCCAAGTCCAAAGTGTGTGTGGCATTTCGCTGAGGAGCAAAACAAGTTTGACAGATGCAGTTCTGTGGTATTGAAATAACTGATTAGCCTGCATTCTGCTGACGAGTTCAGCTGCTTATTTTCCTTTATTATCATCTTATTAAGAATAGTGGTTTGATTTGAAGTGCAAGCTCTCACTTCTGCAGTCCTGGAGAAACCCTTTAGCAAGTTCTTCTGTTAAATTACCAGTAGTGTACCCAGCTGATGGGGCTAATGGGCATTTTGTGATGTTAAACAGGATTTCTTAGCAGTTTCTAGGCTGTTTTTAGTATGTTTCATGTCAGGTTAAGCTCACCTGTTGGAGTGTTTGTCTGCCAGCTCCGGGAGCAGAACTGGAACACTCAGGGTGTTTTTAAAACAGGAAAAGAAGAAAAAGAAGAAACATTCTTTTTTTTTTTTTTTTTTTTTTTTTTTTTTTTTTTTTTTTTTTTTTTTTTTTTTTTTTTNTTTTTTTTTTTTTTTTTTTTTTTTTTTTTTTTTTTTTTTTTTTTTTTTTTTTTTTTTTTTTTGGCTGAAAGATTACAGACTTTAATTCCTCTGCCTATTTTAGGCAGTGTTTGTAGGAAGAAAATTAATCTGAAGAAAGGTCTAAATATACTTTGTCTTCTTCCCCTCAGAATATCATTAAGAAGGTGAACGGGAAGAAGTTCGTGTACAAATTCGTGTCGTACCCGGAGATCCTGAACATGGATCCACTGGTGGTGGGCCGGATCGAGGGGGACCCCGAAATGCCCGGCTTTGGGGAGGTGACCAGCACCCCCAAGGACGTGGAAAACTGTGGGAAGGAGAAATCCCAGTCCTGTGCTAAATCCTCCAGCCGCAACGACTACATCCACTCAGGCCTCTACTCCTCCTTCACCCTCAACTCCCTCAACTCCTCCAGCGTGAAGCTCTTCAGGTCCATCAAGATCGAGAACCCGGCCGAGAAGCTGGCGGAGAAGAAACCTCAGGACCCCACTCCCTCTGTCATCAAATTTGTCACCGTGCCCTCCAAAAAGCCTCCCTCCGCCCCGCTGGTCTCCACCACCTCGGCGGTGCCTGTCACCCCCACGGCTTCTGCCGCCCCGGCCGCGTCCTCCTCGCTTCCCCTGGGCTCCGAGGAGACTCTGCAGAGCCTGGAGACGCTCGTCCTGCCCAAGCTCAGCGTGCCCGAAGCTCCTCCAGCCCCTTTGCCCAACCTGAGCGCCGGCTTCGCCCCGACCCCGCCGCCCATGGCCTCGGTGTCTCCTGGCCTCCAGGTGCCCTCCACGCCCCCCTCGCCGCCCCTCAGCTCCAACCCCGACCTGGACATTGACACGGACATCGAATCTGTGGCTTCCCAGCAGCTGGAGCAGGCTCAGAGCCTCCAGCACCAGTCCCCAGAGCCCAAAGAGCAGCAGGATTCAGCTGGGCTGGAGAAGGAATTTGCCAATCATCTCTCCAGGTCGAAAAAACCCAAAGGGCTTGAGCTGGCTCCCACTCTGGTCATCACGGGCAGCGATCCGAGTCCCCTGGGCATCCTCAGCCCTTCCCTCCCAACTGCTTCTCTTACTCCAGCACTTTTCTCTCAGGTGACCAAATTCCCTTCAATTCCCTCCATTCTCTTCAATTCCCTCCATTCCCTTCCTGGTTTCTTTTATTTTTGTTTTTAACTAACAATAGCGATGATGTTATGCTCAAAAAACAGCAAGTGGAAAATGAATAGTTCATTGTATGCGGAGGTTTGAAACTCAGGATGTCACTCCCTGGTTGGTTTTTTTTGTTTGTTTGTTTTTAATCAAACACAAGTTTGGTGTTAACTCACCCCGAAGTGTGCCCAGGTGCTGGGCACGCACACAGAGCTGGCATGTGGAGGCAAAACCCAAACCAGCTCCAGCAGGATTTTGTAAACCTTGCCAGGAGGATACTGAATTATTCCTGAACCCTGCCCCAAAATCCTTCAGCTGGGCCTGGAAGTCCTTCATTATTCCTAAACCCTGCCCCAAAATCCTTCAGCTGGGCCTGAAAATCCTTGATTATTCCTAAACCCTGCGCCAAAATCCTTCAGCTGGGCCTGAAAATCCTTGATTATTCCTAAACCCTGCCCCAAAATCCTTCAGCTGGGCCTGGAAGTCCTTCAAAAGCAGCCCCACAGAGGTGTCTGCTGAGCTTGTTTTTACTCATTTAGTAACATTTAGTAAAAGCCAGAGTCTTGTGAGCGAGCAGCAATAAGAGCAGCTGCTTAATTTGGTTGTTATCTTTGTGTGGGAAAGGAAAGCTTTCATGTCTCATGGAAAACTTGGAAGAGAAGTGGATCCAGCAGGGCTGTTAAATCATTCTGTATCTCTGCAATCTCTGCCCTGCAATAAATTGGAATTAGAATGAGACCACGGGGGAGCTGCTGGTTGAAAACTGGAATGGCTGAAGACAGGGGAAAAGGGAAAAAAAAAACCAAAATCCAAGTGGAGTTGTTCTTTTGGCACCCCGGGAAGTGCTTGGCTGGTGAGCCTGGAATATCCAGGAGCTGGATGGAAATTCCTTTTGTTGTTGCTGGCATTGTCAGTGGCACCAGAAGCTCCTGTTGGGTTTTTATTTTCCTTTTTAAATCCAGAATCCCACTTTTCCCGAGGGCTGGAGTGGAGGAGGAGCTGCTCTGCTGTGGCTTCCTGCAGGATTTTTGGGGAAAAAAGGGTTGGATTGCTCGGGCAGAGGACGGAGGGAGAGCTGGATGGGGCTGGCAGGGAGGAAGGAATGGGAGTTCCTGGCAGCTGAGGGGTGTTGTGGCTGGAATTCCATGGGAAAGGCTGGAATTCTGTGGGGAAAGGCTGGAATTCCATGGGAAAAGCTTGAATTCTGTGGGGAAGGGCTGGATTTCCATTGGAAAGGCTGGGATTCCACAGGAAAGGCTAGATTTCCATGGGAAGGGCAGGGATTCCACAGGAAAGGCTGAAATTTTCCTGCTGGGATCCTGTGAGGAAGGCTGGAATTCCACAAGAAAGGCTGGAATTCCACGAGGAAGGCTGGATTTCTGTGGGAAAGGCTGGAATTCCGTGGGAAGGGCTGGAATTCCATGGAAAAGGCTGAAATTCTGTGGGAAAGGCTCGAATTCCATGGGAAGGGTTGGGATTCCACGGGAAAGGCTGGATTTACATGGGAAGGGTTGGGATTCCAGGGGAAGGGCTGGAATTTTCCTACTGGAATTCCACGGAAAAGGCTGGAATTCCACAGAAAAGGCTGGATTTCCCTGGGAATGGCTGGAATGCTGTGGGGAAAGGCTGGAATTCCACAGGAAAGGCTGGATTTCCAGGGGGAGGGCTGGGATCCCAGGGGAAAGGCTGGAATTTTCCTACTGGAATTCTACAAGGAAGACTGGAATTCCCTGGAAAAGGCTGGAATTCCCTGGGAAGGGCTGGAATTCCACAGGAAAGGCTGGAATTCCACAGGAGAGGCTGGATTTCCAGGGGGAGGGCTGGGATCCCAGGGGAAAGGCTGGATTTCTGTGGGAAAAGCAGAATTGCTGTGGGAAAAGCTCGATTTCCATGGGAAGGGCTGGAATTCCACAGGAAAGGCTGGAATTCCACAGGAGAGGCTGGAATTCCACAGGAGAGGCTGGATTTACAGGGGAAGGGCTGGGATCCCAGGGGAAAGGCTGGAATTTTCCTACTGGAATTCCACGAGGAAGGCTGGAATTCCATGGAAAAAGCTGGAATTCCACGGAAAAGGCTGGAATTCCGTGGAAAAGGCGCTGACAGGTGTTTTCCTGCCTTTCCAGACTCCCATCCTGCTGACCCCCAGCCCGCTGCTCTCCAGCATCCACTTCTGGAGCACGCTGAGCCCCGTGGCCCCGCTCAGCCCTGCCCGCCTGCAAGGTGCTAACACCCTCTTCCAGGTCAGTTTTTCCAGGAATTCCCAGCCCCTTCCCCTTATTCCCAAAATTTGCAGCCAAAATAAAACAGGAGCTGTCGGTTCCCACCCCCTTTGCGGGCGTTAATTTTATTTATTTATTTATTTTTTTTTTTAACCCGGTTTTATTTCAGGGTATTGTAAATCGTGGGAAAACGCCAGTCGCTTGGTTTTTAAAATTTAACAATAATTTTAAAAGTTTAATAATAATGGAATTAGAGTAATAAAGTTTAGAGTTAGGACAATTACAAGATGATAAAAAGCAAAGAATTACGGATGTTTGGATGCTCTCGGACACCAAGTCACAAAAATCATCCCTTGTGAAAAAAGGAACAACCTTAAAAGCAATACCTCTTGCATATTCATATATCTCATATATTATTCATAATTTCCCTGCAAATTAAGAATTTTTCTGGTTTTTATCAATTTCTCCTTAATCCTGGTGGTTTCAAAAAGATGGAAGAATGTTTTTTATGATAATTAGGCTGTAACTTTTTATGGGCCCCTTTTGCTGACATCTCTTTCTCGATTATCCTGATTATCTCAAATTCTATACCACAGAGTTTCTATTTTAATATTATGTTGTAACCTAAAACTACATTTATCACACTACTTAAGAGAATTAATACAGCATCACTTTCTAACATTACACACATAATATTCATTGTAACATTTGCGAAAAGCCAATCATAAAATCTGAATTTTTCACATAAATGTTGGTTGAGATTTACAGCAGCACAGGCTGCTTTAGACAGAGATTATTTCTATATTTTAGGTCTGTTCTTCCTGTAAAAACTTCTCCCCGTAACTTTTTTTTTTTTTTTGTTGGGATTTTCCTCAATTTTCAAATTTTCCCATTGTTTGTTCCAATCATTCCTGATGAAAAATACGAATTAATCTCACAGCTAATGAGGAGAAAGAGTGTGTGTTTGATCTCTGTGATGACGTTTTTGATGATTTTTATGGAAGAAATCCATAAAATTCCTGCCTGTGAGGCTGGTGAGGAGCTGGCAGAGAAGCTGTGGCTGCTCCTGGATCCCTGGAAGTGTCCAAGGCCAGGATTTTTTACTATATAGGAAAAAAATCCACAATATTTAGGAAAAAAACCCTCCTTTAATTGGAATTCTCATGTTTTTCCCTCACACTTCCACTGTGCCATTGGAATTACCACATTTGCTGCCTGAATTTGCTGAGGCAAAGGGTAGAATTGAACCCAATTCAATTAAATTTTCATTTCATCCCATTGAGACGGAAGAATTTAATGAAATTTTCTGGGCTGGGCTCTGCCATTTCCATGGAGATGGAGGAAGTTCCTCATCTGTGCCACGAGATGGGGAATAAACGGGGATATTTCATTAACTGAGGGGCAATTAAAACCCTTTTTTTCCCTCACAACCCAGATTAAAATCACGTTTTAACGAGGATATGGGGCAGTGCTCAGCTCAGGGGTCACTGTGGCACCGCTTGGCATTAAAAAATAAATTAAAAGTGAGAGGCCATTTGAACGCTGGGCTGATTTTTCTTTATTTTGTTGTTGCATTTGGGGTATTTTTTCCCTTTTTTTGTGCACAGATACTGGAGCAGCGTGAATTGATAGTTTTTTTGGCATTAAAAATAAATTAAAAGTGAGAAGCCAAGAGGATCGTTGAACTCTGGGATGATTTTTCGTTATTTTGTTTTTGCATTTGTGGGTTTTTTTCCTTTTTTTTGTGCACAGATACTGGAGGAGCATGAATTGAAATGTTTTTTGGCATTAAAAAATAAAAGTGAAAAGCCAAGAGCATCCTTGAACTCTGGAATAATTTTTCTTTGTTTTGTTGTTGCATTTGGGTTATTTTTTTACCCTTTTTTTATGCAGAGATACTGGAGCAGCGTGAATTGAAATTTTTTTTTTTTTTTGTGGCACCACTTGGCATTAAAAAATAAATTAAAAGTGAGAAGCCAAAAGCATCCTTGAATTCTGGGATGATTTTTCTTTATTTTGTTGTTGCATTTGTGGTTTTTTCCCCCTTTTTTATGCACAGATACTGGAGGAGCATGAATTGAAATGTTTTTTGGCATTAAAAAATAAATTAAAAGTGAGAACCAAGAGCATCCTTGCACTCGGGTGGTTTTTCTTTATTTTATTGTTGCATTTGGGGTATTTTTTCCCTTTTTTATGCAGAGATACTGGAGGAGAATGAATTGAAATGGGTTTTGGCATTAAAAAAGAAATTAAAAGTGAGAAGCCAAGAGCATCCTTGCACTCTGGGGTGGATTTTCTTTATTTTGTTGTTGCATTTGGGGTTTTTTGAGCACAGATACTGGAGGAGCAGTGAGTTTAAATGTTTATTTGTGCCACAGCTTGGCATTAAAAAATAAAAATGAGAAGCCAAGAGCATCCTTGCACTCTCGGGTGGTTTTTCTTTATTTTATTGTTGCATTTGGGGTATTTTTCCCCTTTTTTATGCACAGATACTGGAGGAGCATGAATTGATATGTTTTTTTGCATTAAAAAATAAAAGTGAGAACCAAGAGCATCCTTGCACTCTGGGGTGGATTTTCTTTATTTTGTTGTTGCATTTGGGGGTTTTTTTGCTGTTTTTTGTGCCCAGATCCTGGAGCAGCGTGAATTTAAAGTGATTTTGTGACGATTCTTGTTTTATCTCTCAGTTCCCATCAGTGCTGAACAGTCACGGCCCATTTACGCTGTCGGGACTGGACGGACCCTCCACCCCCGGCCCCTTTTCCCCGGATCTCCAGAAGACATAGCACATGGAATTCATGGAATTCCTGCAAAAGGACACCGTGGGACGCTTCCCTTCAACCACACCTTTTTTGTTTTTAAAGCGAGCAGTTTGTAATTCCACAGAGATTCTCCACAGTTGTTGCCATTCCCGCATCAAAAAAAAAAAAAAAAAACAAAAAAATCCCAAAAAAAAAAAAAAAAAAAAAAAACTGAATCAGTCCCCTCAAACAATGGGGAAAAAAAAAAAAAACCAAAAAATCCCACAAAAACCCTTTTTTTTTTTTTGCAAAAATTCCCCCTTTTTTTTGGAAGAACCCAGGCTGGGAATGTATATGCAAACGCCTTAATAGGAGCTGCAGCTCCAGTCTCTTCTCCTCCTCCTTGGTTTGGAAGGTTTTTCCCACCTGTCCAAAAGGAATTTTGGGTGGTGTTGGAGCAACTGAGTCTGCAGCAAACAGCACCAGAGGAGGCTTTTCTCTGTGACTCTTGGAAAAAAAAAACAAACAAAACCCTCCGTTCTTCTGCTTCCTGTGCTCAGCAAGGAGCAGCCTGGATCCTGATGGAAGCTGGCATTCCAGGAAAAGTTTGGGAATGGATTTTGGGGTGTGTGCTGTCAGCTCTGCCCCCGGGGGCACCGGGACTTGTGCAGCAACAAAAGCAGCCGGGGCTTTTCTGCTGCCCTTCTCCTTTTTTTTTCTTTTTTCTTTGCAAGGAATTTTCTTTTTTTTTTTTTTTTTCAAGGAATTTATTCCAAGTTTATGTGCAGGACAATTCTGTGGAGCCCCTGGGAAAAGAGGTGGGGCTGGATTTTGGATGCTTCCCTGCCCTCCTTCCCTTCCCATGGACAGCTGGGATCAGCTCCTCTCACTTCTCACACAGTTCGAATGCTGGAGTCCAAACATTTCTTGTGCCAGAGCCTGGGAGCTCCCTGCTGGATCAGCAGGATGGCAGCAGGATTTTCCCTGCACTTTTGGAGGCTTTTCCTTGGGTTTTCAGGGGGTTTTCCCTGTTTTTTGGGGGGATTTTCCTTGGGTTTTTAGGGGAGGTTGCTGCCTGACCTGCAATTCCAGGGCCCAGCAGGGTGAGTGAGAACAGCAACATGCCAGCATTTAGTGTTGCTTCTCTTTTCTCCACAATTTTGGGGAAGCTTCCTGCTTTTCCCCACGTGGAAAAGCTCCTCTTTTGCTGTCTTTTACCCCAGGTTTTGCAGCGGGGCTGTCGATTTATTTGGTTTTTTTTTGGAGGGAGCACTGACCCCAAAGCAGGCTGAGGGGTTCCACGGGGTAAATCTGCTTTCACCTCCTTGGTGTCCTGGATTAAAAATGCAGGATTGTTCTCCGGAGCCATTGTTGGAGGTGAGGTGGAATTTGTGTAGGTGGATTTTTACACCTCAGGTGGCCTTGTAAGAAAAGTGAGGGGTGGAAAAAACGAGAGCTGCTCCTCTCTCAGCCCCTCAGTCCTGAAGTGTTGGGCTCTGGGTCTGTGTCCTTCCAATTTGGGGCATCCCATGTCAGGCAGCAACTTCTGGGTGTGAATTGAGGATCTTCCCCATAAAATATTCCCAGAAAAAACAGATGGAGACATCTCTTTCCTTCAGCATCCTGCGAGCTGCCATGAGCAGAGGAAGATTTTCCCCTCTCCAGCACGAGGAGCTGACAGTGTTTGCTGTAAATACTGCACCTATTCCACGGATAAGTGGTGAACTCAAACTTTTCCAGAGGTTTTTTTTCTTCTTTTTTTTTTTTTTTCCTTCTGCCACTTTTCCAGGCTTTGGAATTCCCTTGAAAGCCACAAGAAACACCCAGGACTTTTCTTTTCCTGCAGTGATGTTCCCTTTCTATATCCTGCCATTGAGATACGGAAAAAAAAAAAACAAACCACTTTTGTGTGTTCCTGACGTGACACCTGGGACAGGTGGGTGGAACAGAGTCGCTTTTTTTTGGGCATTGTTCACCTGCCCAGGGGAAAAAAGTGGGAGAAAAAAAAATATTCCTTTTTCAGGTGGAGAAGCAGGGAGTGAGCTCGTGGAGTGACCTGTCTTCCTGTTGGCTCCTGTCAGAGGCAAAAAACGCTTCACATTTAGACATCAGCAGATGCAGGAGGAAATTCCTGCGCCAGCAGCTCTTCAAATGTGCAATATTGACCTTTTGTTTTAATTTAATTTTTATTTTTGACATGCAGAAGCGAAGCTGCAGGTGATCATGAAGAGCAGGCATCTGGAATTTTGCTTTTTTTGGAGCCTGCTCTGGGAAATTTTCTGGAGCTATGTATAAATAGCAGCACTTTGGTTGGTTCAGGTTGGCCAATTTTTTGCCTACCAAATACGTGGACTTTTGACATTTGCAGGCTGGGATTCGAATTGAAAATTCATGAATGATGAGCACTAAAAAACTTGCAATTTAATTGCTTCCCTTTCCCCCTTGTTCCCCTGTGGAGAAAAGCCAAGTTCAGCTGTTGAAAAATTTGTGCACTTAATTCTTTGTGAGCTTTTATGGCTTTGGGCAGAGGGTCAAGCCCCCCAAAAAAAAAAATATATTATTTGTGGGCTCCTGCTCCTCTCCAAGAAGCTTCCCAAAATTGCTGTGCCACAGAGAATCCAGGTTTTCCTGTGGGAATGCTGAGTTTTTGTGGAATGAGATAATTGAATTCCCTGGATGGGAAAGTTTCCACCAGGTAAAAAAACCCAGCGGGCAGGAAAAAAAACCAAAAAAAAAAAAAAAAAAATCAGAATGAGAAGCTCAGGAGGGAAAGCTGATGGAAAAGGGAGAGGAGGTGGGAGAGAGGAGCAGCTTTTGCTGCCTTTTCTCCACTGCGATTTTCAGGTCACTGAAAATGATTTCAGGAAATAAAGGGAATATTTCATTGTGCATGTGCTGCCTGCCAGGGAGCTGCCAGCTTTTCCTGGCTCACATTCCTGACAGAGCCTCCCTGTCAGCTGCTGGTTCTTTAGGTCACTTCAGGAGCACTTTTTGTGCAGCTCCTTGTTTTTAATTTAACTTAGGGCAGGTGGGGTTAGAGTAGATTCTGTTTTAGTTCTGTACCGTGGTGATTAAAAAAAAAAATTTTAATAATGCAGCATTACAGAAGCTTTTTTTTTTTCTTAGGTTCCTGTTGCTGGAGTAGCTTTGGTTTTGTGGAATTTTTGGTAATTTTTGCATCAGTTGGTTCCTGGCTGGTTTGGGTTGTGTGGAAGGTCAAAGCTTTTGGAAGGAAAAGCATTTTGGTAGAACAAAAAGAGTTCGGTGGAAGACAGACAAGAACCCAGCATCCTTCCCAGCTTCTGGAGATGGGAATAAATCCCTAAAATTCAAACTTCTGGTAGGATTTAAGGGCGTGGAAGCTGAATTTGTGTCCTGCTTCTGGGAATCCCTTGGGGTTTTTTGGGGTTTTTTTTCCATGTGGAGCTGCTGCTGCTGTTTGGCATCCTGGATTTTCAGGGCTCCTGGCAGGAGGAAAATGGCCCATGGTTATGAAATCCTTGATTTTCTGTCTTCCCTGGGAAGGTGATCCGGGTAAAAAGAGGGGGATGGAGGAATTTTGGGTTTTTTTAGCAGCAATTTTAGGTTTAGAGCTTTGTTGCAGTTCCTGTGCAGGTTTTGGCACATTCGAGCTCTGGTTTGCAGATCAGGAAGGGATAAAATTCCTGGAGTTGGACAATTCCTTCTTTTCACCTGCAGCATCCCAAAGCTTGAGGAGCCGTGGGATCTTTGGGATGATGGAGAACAGAAAGGCTTTGCCTGGGATCCTTTCCCCCTCTGACACGTTTTCAAACCTCAGCTGTTCCAAAATATTCCAGAATGGAATCTTTTGGGTTTTAAATGTTCATTCTGAGGCCAGCGAAGCTGCTGAGGTGCAGATCTCCCTTCCCCAGCCTCCCCCAGCCCGGGGAGCTGCATCCCTGTGGAATTCCCTGGGAGCTGCATCCCTGTGGGATTCCCTGGGAGCTGCATCCCTGTGGGATTCCCTGGGAGCTGCATCCCTGTGGGATTCCCTGGGAGCT